CACACACACACACACACACACACACACACACACACACACACACACAGCATCTGAGCCTGAAAGGGAGTAACTGGCCAAAATGTTCTGTCCTTGTAGAGTTCAAGAAGATGGTTAAAATGAAAGGCAATGCTTAGCTAATTAGACATGAATTGCAAAGGGAACCACTAACAACTGAAATAGAGGCTATACCTTTAACTTTCAAACCAATAGAGAGAGAAAAAAAGTCAAATTCAGCATCATATGTGAGGCCAGGAAATCCCCAGCACCGCCAATTTTTTTTAACTGAACGAGAAAAAAAATCATAAAATTAGAACAAAAATAGGGCAAATGAAAAGAAAACAGAAATAAACCCACGTGACAGTAATATGATAAACTGTTAATGGACTTAACGTGCAGTTGAGTGTCAGATTTGAGAAAAAGTTCTTTTCCCCTTAAAAGATATGCATAAGCCAGGCATGGTGCCACACACCTGTAATTCCAGGATTCAGGAGGCTAAAACCAGGAGTTTGAGGCCAGTCTGGGTTACATAGTGAGTTCAAGGCCAGCCTGAACTACATAGTGAGACCCTGTCTCAAAAAACCAAAGATTAAAACAAAAACAAACCCTTAAGACCCCAAAGATAAAAACATGCATCATGCATGGCTGAAACCCCAGATACCCAAGAGACTGAGGCAGGAGGCTGGACAACCTGGAGAGACCCCATCTCAAAAGCATAATAAAGTCTGGGTATGTACCTCAGCACCCCCTGGGTTCAATCCTCAGTACAAGAAAGAAAAAAAAATGAAAAAAACAAAGGGGGGAGGGAAGGAAGGAAGGATAAAGGGAGGGAAGGAAAGGAAAGAAGTAAGGAAAAAAGAAAAAGAAAGAGGGACGGGGACAGATAGAAAGACAGACATTTAAAACATAGATTCAAAGCAAGACTCAAAAATTAGGACATTAAAAACTGTATCCCACAAATATAAGAAAACCTAGAGGATTCTTTTTTGTTTGTTTGTTTTGTTTTGTTTTGGTTTTGGTTTTTTGAGACAGGGTCTCACTATGTAGTTGAGACTGACCTGGAACTCACTATGTAGCCCAGGCTGGTCTCGAACTCACAGCAATCCTCCTGCCTCAGCCTCCCAAGTGCTGGGATTACAGATGTGAGCCACCATGCCCGGCACAGGATCCATTTTAATAAACAGGTATAAAATAAACTTTAAGATGGTACCAAGTGTGAAGATTATCACACAAGATAAGAAGATTTAAAATTTGAATGTACCAAATAAAACAGCTTACAATTATTTACTGGAAAAAGTGACAATTTCATCATTACAGTGGAGATTGTGACTGGGCTCTCAATTTTTGACAAAGCAAGGTGTGATGGCACACACCAGCACTTGAGAGGCCAAGGCAGAAGGATTGCCATGAGTTCAAGGTCAGCCTGGACTGTGTAGTGATGAGACCCTGTTTTAGACAAACAAAAAGATAAGGCTGCAAAAAAAAAATAGTAAAGATACTGGCTGGGCACAATGGCATACACCTGTAATCCTAGTATTCAGGAGGCTGAGGCAGGAGAATCTCAAAGTTGAGGCAGCTTGGGTTACATAAGTGAAGTCATATCTCAAAAACAAACAAAACAAAAAACTAATAAAGGAGATAAAACTGTGAAATGATTGAGAAAAAGAGAAGAAACAAATAATATCAGAAATAAAAATAAGTATATGTACAGATATGACAGAGCTTTTATATATAAGAAATTATTATGCTAATAAATATGAGAAATGAAGTGAAATGGAAAATTCTTAGAACAGAACTGACTGACCAACATTTGTTTAAAGAGAAACAAATGTCCAAACAGTTTTATATTTGTCAGCGAAATCTCAATCAGTAAACATCTTTCCCCCAGAAAGCACCAGGCTCAGATGTTTGATTGTTTCTCAAAGAAGTTCTCCTAGATTTGAAGAAAGAGATCATGTCAGTGTAGCATAAACCCTTCCAGTGAGCTGAACAGAAGGAACTTGGTATGGCTTGTGTCTGGATGTCCCCTCAAAGCCTCATTTGGTTGTAGGTGGGGCTTTTTCAGAGGTGGCTGGACCTAGAGTGTGTGAGGCTGGGATTAGGGTGAGTGATTATAAACCAGTACAGTGACTGGTTTGGTACTGCCCTGATCCTGGTGTTCTGGACAAGATACAAGGGGCAGAAAGACTCTGTTAAGTTTCCTTTGTTGCTTTTGCTACTGTGTGGGCACCATGAACTGTTTCTCCTCTGTGATGCTCCTCTGCCACGGGCTACTCTGCCTTGGAGCCAGTTGATTATGGACTCAACTCCATAAACTGTGAGCCAAATAAACCTTTTCCTCCTTTAACTTTGGGTGTCAGGTATTTTGTCTCAGCAGTGAGAGAAAAGTAACTAAGACAGTATGTTTCCCTTCATTCTATAAGACCAACATAATTTCACAGGGAAAGTAGATGAGATACTCCATGTACGGGAAAGTGCAGGCCAAACTCATTCACTGATGTACATGTGAAAATCCAACACCTAACAAAACCAAACCCAGAACATATTTTAAAAGACAAACAACAAAGTGGTAAGTAGGAGAGAGAGGAACTGGATTGGAAATAACAGAAATTGGCATGGGAGGGCCTGGGATTTAGCTCAGTGGTGCTGCCAACCTCTCAAGCGCAAAGTCCTGAGTTCGATTCCCAGTACCAAAAAGAAAAAAAAAAGAAATTGGCAGGGGCTGTAGGTCGTCAGCTCTATTTATAATGTGTATTTCCCATCCAGATTCATAGGTACTCACTAAATGACACTTTACATCTTCCTGCATATTTGTAATATTAATATTTCATATTTTACCTTAAAAGTGATGGCATCAATACCATACATGTATAAATTTTGGCCATAAAAAATAAAATGTTACTTGGGAGGCTGGGTCAGGAAGATCGTAAGTTGCACAGTCAACTTGGGCAACTGGGGAAGAAAACCTTGACTATATATGGAGACCCTGTCACAAAATAAAGTTAAGATAAAAATAATGGAGGATAGGGCTCACTTTGCATGCACAAGGCACAGGGTCAGTCTCTAGTAATGCAAAAACAAACAGACAGACAAATGTTACAGCATTTCAGACAAACCTTACAGACTTTATGTCCAGGCTCTTGTTTTTCCCATAAAACTGGTTTATTGTTGATGAAGGAGTCAAGGCATCTCCAAAGTTAAAAAATAAATATTATATAAGGATAAATAGTAGGTTAGTCATGGCAATCTAACACCCATACTAACAATGACAGAAGAATACCTTTTCAGAATGGTACATAAAAGTTTACAAAAATAGGATATTAAAATAACAATTATCTATTCCATGCTTTTTCATATATTAATCACATGAAATAAATAAATGCATAATTATAGAGAATTTCTACTCAGATTTGTAGACCCTCCTTTATGACACAGTGATAAAGTGAAACTGGAAATTTCACTGTAAGGCAATGAGTAAGAAATGCTCAAAAGAAGCTGGACGCATGACCTGTGATCCCAGCACTCAGGAGGCCAGATAGGAGGATCACCATGAGTTTGAGGCCAACTTGGGCTACACAGTGAGTTCAAGGCCAGCCTGAATTACAGAGCAATGCCCTGGAGAAAAGAGAGAGAGGGAGGGGGAGGGAG